AGACTATCGCTGAAAACACTGTTTTGATTACAGTGCATAAGATGTCTTAGGGAGGGTTGTCAATGACTGCTGAAACAGTCCACATCTGAGAACACAGATGCTTAAACCTGAGTGGTAGTTTGGGGAATGAAAAAGCAGAGATGGACTTGTGAGATATTTAGAAGGAAGGATAAATAAGACTTTGTAAAGAGCTGAATGGAGGGGTGGGGCAAACCAGAGAGTATTTTTAAGCCTAGGAAACTGGAGCTACTCGATTTGGGGAAAGAATGAGGGACTTAGTAGAAAGAGACATAATAATTGCAAGGGTTTGGCTAGTAAGTCAAATAAAATACCCAATCATCAGTTACAAGCGGGGGCTGCAGCCTGTGATGCCTGTAGGCCTCTTGCGGACCAAGGCTGTTGGAACTCTTCAAACCGTCAGCACCAGGCCCCGGCCAAGCACAGCTGTGCTCCCTGTGGGGCCTGGCTACTGGCTCACCCACTGCATAGAGATTTGGGGTCAACTTTACAAGAAAATAAAGCTGTGAGTGCGAACAAGTAACGAGGGTAGGTGCAAAGAAGGAAACTAAGGAGACCAAGTCTTGAGAAACAAATACATTGAAGAGCTGGAGGGGAAAAGCAACCAGTAACAGAGACAAGGCAGGCTAGTCAAAAACTAAACCAAAACAGAGAGAAGGGAAAGAAGAGAAGGGGCAAACAAGAACAGAATGAGAGGAGCAGGGAGGAGAGACGCTACTTATTATTAATGTGTGTGTGTAGGTATATACACCAGCAAACAGGTAGATGCAAAAATTAAAGAGTCACATTTCGTGAACAAAAATAAAAAGGATTAAAATGTTTCCTTAATAACTTAAAGTAAATAAGTGAATTGTTCCTGTCACATTGATTCATCTATCGCATGTGGCTACTCCATAAATGTTAATTGAATTAAATTAATAGCATTTGCTCAATGGTAATAAAAAATTAATTAACTGTCTGTCTTTTCTGATATTTGAGTGCATGCCCATTGGTTCTGAAATTGCTCTAGCCCAAACATAAATTTTCTATTTTACTGACTTTTAAGATACACTTAATTTTTTTCCCCTAAGAAACACAGTTGAGCTTCTAATTTTTGTCCTAATGTTGGTGGTTTTTTCTGTTGAAAAAAATTATTTTTCTTACATTAATGTCAAGATCTATCTATAACATCCCAAATATAGTTTCACATGTTCCTTATTTAATTCCAAAATAGTTTTCTCTGCAGAAGATGTGATACCATTTTGATGTGATTCTCCTTTTAGCTTATGCTACTTTATAATACTTTGTGTACAATGTCAAATATCATCATGAAAGACGAAATGTGGGGAAATTATTGTTAGCATTGCTTCTATAAAAGACAGAAGATGTCATTTACATTCACCCAGAAATTGTGCCTCCTTTCATATGTCAGATTCTGGGCTGAACAGACTGGATTCTGACACGTGTGTGTGTCAGATGACTTTCTAATGAGCAACAGATAGCTCCCACTAGGAAATGAAAAAAATAAAAATATAAACAGAGATATAGAATTAAAATAACTTTATGAATGGCAGTTTAAGTTCTCCATAAAATTCTCTCAGTACAAGCCCAGTACCTCCAAATGGTTGCTGTACTTAAAATTGTCACAAAATTAAAAAGAGAATCGTGTACCACTTGGCTATATACCGTCTTCTCTGCATGTTCCTATATCTCAGTAACCTCTAGCCAACTTTTCTTTGTTACTGAATTACTTTGTGCGAAAGAATTTGAATTCCATGCAGCCTGACTACGTGTGATCACTTGAACTGATGGTTAATTTCATCTGTAAGTGAAGCGCTGCTCCATGCTCCGTACTTACCAAGTCCCCTTACCTATTAGCTCTTTCTGAGCTGCCCTCCCTGCGCCTTGGAAAGCCGCTGTGCCTGCTGGCAGGACTCCCGCGCTGGGAGCCAGCCTGGCGCTGCTGAGGCTGTTCTGGGAGGCGTGTCAGTGGGCTGTTTGCAGGGCTTCTTTTGGGGTCATGCCATACCATTGGACTCAGGTGAGGAGGGTTTTGCGGATGTGCAGTCTTTACAGCTAGGAAGTGAGACAAAAGCTACAAACAAATCAAAGCAAAGCTTTTGGAATCCACCAGGCCTGGGTTCAAATCCCGGCTCCACCATTTGCTAAGGAAGAATCTTCGGGCAATTTATAAACTATCTGGGCCTTAGTTACAGTCATTCAGCCGTTAACTGGAGACACCAATTCATACTTTTGCCACCTGTTCAGAGAGGCTGACAATATTGACCTCCTAGAGTTTTTGTTAAGTAAGGTATACAGGGTGAGGCAAAAGTAGGTTTATAGTTGTTCATATGGAAAATACTACAATAAGGAATAAATAATAATACAAGAATGAACTTTCACATACTTACAACTGTAAACGTACTTTTGCCCCACTCTGTATAAGTGGTAACAGAGAGCCTGACATAAATGCACGCGACTGTGTGTTGTGTGTAAGTGGTGATGTGGTTTGCAACCTGAGTGATTTGCCCCACAGGGGATACTTGGCAATATCTAGAGACATTTTTGGTCGTCACAACCCAGGGTGATGGGTGCTACTGGCATCGAGCAGGTAGAGGACAGGGATGCTGCTAAACTTCCTGCAATCTCCCGGTCATGAACAGTCATCTGGCCCAAAGCATCATGTGTTCTACATGCTTGAAGGACTAATTTACACGGCTATGTTTGTGATATTAGCTGGTTACTGGACATTTTGGTACCCAAGTAAGAAAAATAAATTATTTTTAGCATCATCATCCTTATATCATCAATTTGGTGAATCTCTCTTGGGTTAGAGGAAGCCAAGAGGTTCTCAATCTGTTGAGCTAATTCTATCTCTTCAATATTTTATTAATTACTATCAACAATAGTTGTTTTTCCTGAACCCCTATTTCTGCCAATCCTTTTTAGGATGAATCAAACTGCCACGAAGAGATATAAAGCCAGCAGCATACGGGTTGGGAATAAAAGTTAAATGTTGTTGAAAGCCAACACTATTTGGAGGATCAGAAGGAGATAAAATGGCCTAAGACAATTGTGTGTACCACTCTGTTAGCTCCCCTTCTGTTACGGGACCTTGGAGAGCAACCGGTGAGGACTGGTTTCTGAACGTTGCTCATGCACCCAACACTGGCTGTTCTTTTCCCTTCTCCACTCTCCAACGCCGAGGGCCCCTGTGGCAGTTGTTCTCAAATCTGTCTGCAGGTGGAGCTTCAAAAATCCCCCAGGGACTGTGATCTAATCTGTTGGGTGGAGTGAAGAGGAGGAGTGGCCTGACCTTTTAAAAAATGCCAAATTTTTAAAGGGTTTCCCAGGTGAATTCTACTCTGAAGACTCGTCTGGGAATCATGGCCTGAGGCGGTAGGCCCCAGCAGAGGTTTCTGTCTGACCCACAGGAAGAAGTCGTTTTTGAAAGGATGATGACTATGGACTCGGCCGGAAGATACCGTATTTCTTGCACTGAGCTGTGTGAGCATGGCAAAATCAAACCCAATTGTCCAGTGTGTTATTTATTTCAGCCACTCAATGAGCATTGCTAAATCAAGCAGGCCTTGGGCCAGCAATGGGATGCGATTCTCCAGAGTTAATCTTCACCGCCCCCTGAAGTACCATCAAATCGCCAGGACCATTGCTTGTTGAGCTCTCAAGATGTCCCCGGGAGTCAGCCTGGCCACATGTTTGAGAATTCTTACCTTAATTCTTTTCTTAGTCTTAGGACTCCCCAGTTTAATGAGTGCAGATAAATAATAAATTAACTGCACCATTACCCAGGCTGGTTCTCTCTATAATATGACTTCATTCATGGCTTCCTTCTCATACTCTCCTCAATACTACAGCTTCTTAGCTATCTTTGCTAACTTGCTGGATGCTTGTGAAAGCCAGTAACGATGCCTGGCCTAGTCACCACTGTATCCCAGTACCCAGCCCACTTATTGCTGCATTGCTGACCCTCACTCAGGATGCGGTAATGAATGAACAAATGCAGGCGTTGAGCACATGAAGCACCTGGCCGCTCAGCATTCTCTATGCCTCTGCAACCACCATCTCAATCACGGACTCTGCTCAAGGACCTCTGAGCATCGCTCATAATTGTGCGGGTGACTGTATGAAAACACAGCATGTGCTCCAGAGCACCCCTGCCCAGAGCCACACAGACCAAACCTGAGCAGTGGCCTAGCAAGACCTTCCAGCGAAGGACGGGGTGGAAACGTGCGTGTGTGAGGGCAGAAAGAGAGTCGAGTTAGGGACTATTGATTGTTAACACTATCCTTACACAGCATTTGTAGAAACAAAGAAGGAAGGCACTTGGTTGAGATCACGTGCTCTCCCTGAGACGTACTGCTCAGCACTGAAGACCCCTGACTACTTCTCAGACCCACAAAATGCTGGCAGCACAGCGCTCTGGCGACGTACTGCAAGATCTGGCTGATCCAAGTGAATGGGCTCCTTGCTTCTTCCCACCCATCAGTAAAAAACCTCACAGTAGAAATGTTGCAAATTACGATGATAGCTAAAACTTAACATGTGGGTAAAATTTTATAATTATTGCACTCTTTTATTCTTACTTGCGTGTTCATACAAAATTTCCTGCTCCAAAATGCTTCATTCTTTTTTATTGTTTGTTTTGTTTTTTTAAAAATGTTCAGTTACAGTTTATATTCAATATTATTTTGCATTAGTTTCAGGTGTGCAGCGTAGTGGTTAGACAATCATGCACTGTGCCGAGTGGCCCCCCGATATTGCCAGGACCCACCTGGCATCATAGGTAGTTATTACATTATTGACCATATTCCCTGTGCTGTATTTTACAACCCTATGACTATTTTATAACTACCAATTGTTTTTAAAAAGACTTTTTTCTTATAAAAGTCTAGAATGTGACATTTTCTGCACATGTCCATTCTTAGGATCACTACATTGCGTCTATAGTGAGTTTGTGTGTGTGTGTTTCTTTTTTCGTCTAGATATGCAACTCACAAGTGAAAAACATGCAGAAGAGAAACCCATTAATGCTATCGTTATAAATTCAGGATCTGAATTCAACATCACAGATGGGCCAGCCAAGGAAACTTCCACTGAGAAAAAACTGTCAGAATCCACCACATCACTGTCCTCCCTTGAAGAATGTCAAACGAAATTTTCTTACCTCCAAACCGATGCTTCAGCTCATCAGAGAGACACTGATGGTATGTTTCTCAGAATCAACCATCTCTAAATAAAGCTCCCCCACCCCCAGCCCCTGTAAAATCATCACATATGCTGTTAGGGGAAAATGCTTTATGAATATTAAACAGGAAGACTTTTATTTGAAAGCCCTGGTGAATGACACATGTCAAGGTCACTTTGCAATTACGAGGTGCTTGGCAGAGTGTTTGCTCTCAACGCTGGGAATCAGAGGCAAACTGTTTTGAAAGAGTTGGGTGAGGTGTAATCATTTTTGCTGTGGGGCTAAATGGTAAAGAAAAATGGCAAACTTTCTTTTCTCAGATCTGGGACTGTTGAGGTGGGGAGGAGAAGGAAGAGTGGAATGCTATTGAAATGCTGGAAAAATATAAATATAGACTATATAGAAGACTAGGATGCTTACAGCAGCAACTTGTATAAAAGGGTTGGTTCCTCTAGGTCGGCAAACTGTGGCACGGCAAACCGCGGCTCGCGAGCCACATGCAGCTCTTTGGCCCCTTGAATGTGGCTCTTCCACAAAATACGGGCTCTTCCACAAAATACCAACTTCTGCGCATGGGCCATGAAGTTTCAATCGCATTGTACGTGTGCACCCATACGTAGTATTTTGTGGAAGAGCCACACTCAAGGGACCAAAGAGCTGCATGTGGCTCGCGAGCCGTGGTTTGCCGACCACAGCTCTAGGTAATATCACTTCCTATGCATTCTGATCAGTGCAAACCTACACCAAACCATCCCTGTGTGTGACAAAGCACATTCCATCTGCAAAGCCAATTTCAAATTGATTTGGAGCTAAATGATCAGGATAGTCAAGTTCAAAGTCACAGACTGCACCAGACACATGAACTTCACTCAGGATAACCATGCAGTGGCCTGTACAGGAGACATAAACCATTTAAGGATTTTGTGTTTAAAAATAGCTAGAAGGAGTTTACATTTACATTTGTGTTTAAAGAAAGCTAGAAGGAGTTTATCAGAGGAAAATTCGAATGGGTATAGTTTCTGATCTGTATTTAAATTCATATTTACTTTTTACAAATAAGAAAACAAAATTAAAACAAAGTCTATATAAGAGGAATTTGGAATCACATCAGTTTAACTCCTGGCTCTGAAATTTTTAACTGCAAAACTGTTTGTTTGTTTGTTTGTTTGTTGCCAACTGACTCTCAGCCTCTGGGTGATATGATGGGGCCTATAACACCCCACAGAGCATTTTGAAGAAGAACTGAAATCACACAAATACAGCAGCCAGCATGGACCTTGTCACATACCAGAGATGCAGGTTTTGCTTGTATGATGATTACAGTTTTAGAGACTAAGGGAGGAGAAGATTCTAACATGTCATATATGTGGTGTCTTGTACAAATGTTGTCACGGATGCTTTAGACCAGAAGCTACAGGCCAGCTGCCTGGTCACCAGGAGATGCTGGGAATGATGTCGAGAACTGGAAGGCAGTGACAGGGGGGCGAGGCTGTGGAGGCGAAGCTGCCAGCTTAGTGTTACCTGGAACCTCTGTGTCCCTTACAAAACTCCACACAGCCAGCAGCTTTGGGCCGACATTGGCCTGCGGACTGCCAGGTTATGACCTCAAGTCCAAGGTGATGCCTAAGTTTCTGGCTTTTTTAGTTTGATGCCAAACAAGAAAACAGGCAACACAGGAGAGGTCTCCGCATTTTATCAGCTAGTGTCAGGGATGCAAGGATCTCACTTGTAACGGGTCTTGGCCGTGTGACCCCAGAATTAGACACCGCCCTGGTGCCCACGCACGCTGGGTAGCACGGTGCAGCGCCAGGCCTCTCTGGTCTGCCCGTCAAGGGGCGGGAGAAGGAGAAGGAGAGGGCCACGTGGCTAGCATGGTGCCTGAACTCACACTCTCAGGAAGGGCCCAAATGACTGCTGGCGGGGACGTACCTGCTCCCTTTCTTTAAAAGCGTGAAGGAGGGTCCTGGGGACTGTCATCAGGCTGCTTTCTTGAGGCCTGGGCTCAGGCCAGTGTGACCAGAACATTCTGGTTTAAGGCCAACACAATAGCTGCTAATGCAGCCCTCCTTTCCCCAGTGAAAATCCTCCCTTCAAGGTAAGAGACTGTGGTTCCTGGGTGAACGGGTAGAAAACCCAGGCGAGGTCCACAATGGTGACTTAGAAACACTCCCATTACCCTAGAGCACAAACACCGAGGAAGTCAAGGGTTCAGTCGGACTCGCTTCATTGTAGAGAGTTGTCATCGCAGTTAATCTAAGGATGCAGCCCCTGGGAGCGGGGTCACCGTGGTGCTGAGAGAATACAGAGAACTTCCAGAAGCAGCAGGGGAAGCAGAAGGGGGAGAGGAGACCGCATCCACTTCCACGCCTGCGTGCGGCTAATTTCTTTCAAATGCATAACGGAGAGCAGGGGAATGGGTGCTTAATTGCTAATATCTATTATTCATATGCATCGCCCCATTTAAACAAGACGGAAAGCCTCGCGCGTGCAGATTTGTAAAGCACCTCCCGGCGCCAGCGGTCACGGGTGCGCGATGGGGCTTCCAGGGGCTGCGCTGCACATGGCCCGATGCCCCGGAGCATCACGTCATGCAGCCCAGGCTCAGCCCGGGGCCCTCCCGGATGAAACGGGAGAAGCCAGGGCACCGCCGGCGCCTCGCAGCGTCTCTGCGTTCTGACTGCACACGCATCCCCGCGGGTAAGAAAAGCGGGGCTCCGCGTGGTGTGAGAACACCGGCTCCTTAGACGAATCCTGGGAGGACACCTAATTGGTGTATAATTTTGAATTTGAGATGTCTCATCCAGGTGGAAGGGAAGATCATCAATACAAGATGCCTCAAAAGAATAGTCTTAATTACACCATGGACTACTGAATAAAATGATTACATTTTCTCCCCAGTAAATTTCATACAATTAAATGCAGCAGTGTCACCTTATAAAATGTTTCAATTTTATAATTATTTCAGTTCATTTGCTCAGAAAAAAACATAAGCACAAATTTACTAAGTATCACCCAAATCTAGTCATTACAGTTCTAAAGAACTGCCGTCGGTGTTAGTCGTGCTTGTCTGAACTTAAATGGATCCTGACATGTTTAAGTAGCTGTTACACGGATAACGCGAGGGGCGATCCCCGCTGGAAGGAGGCATTCAGTCCCACACACTCACATTCTGCCTTACAGACATCTGGAAACACACAAAACCAAATGTGGGGGAGTGGGAACCAATTTGTATACTTTTTGACCAAAAGCTTTTAGTAATCAGTCAGACGCTGGGACTGAGTTTCATGATTACGCCAGATTCCCGGGATGGCACAGGCAGCGCTCAGGGCTCTAGCGTCCTGGGTCCGAGGCTCGTGGTGCCTTCTCTCGGCCTCTGTTTGGGGGAGAAGAGGGCGATTGCTGTTTATCTGGGGTCACTTCTGGAAGAACCATAATCTGCTGTTTGGGATAATGATTCTCAAAGCAGCAGGTGGCAGCTTCTGGAGCTGAGTGCTACCAGCAGGGCGGCTCCTGCCACCGCACCTCCCACCTCCCACCCCTCATCCCAGCACCAGGGGGAGGCCCCAGGGGGCAGGGGGCAGGGGGAGGCCCCAGGGGGGAGGCACCAGGGGGGAGGGGGAGGCTACAAGGGACAGGGGGAGGGGGAGGCCCCAGGGGGCAGGGGACAGGGCAGGCCCCAGGGCCAGGCTGAAAGCTGGAGGCTTCTCAGGGAGGACAGGGTGTGGCCATGAGACTAACATGTGTGGAAACTCCTTGTAGTGGCACCTTTCTGCTGTGATTACATATGACTCTTTCTAAGGAGGCCCCACCCCGCAGCCGGTCCCCAGCTGTCCGGCTGCACCTGTGGGCCCGTGTGTCCTCCGTGCTATCAGGGGCCACCCATACCCCTGTCCTGAAGGCGCCCTGGGTGCTCACAGAGGTGCCAGCACTGCCGCGTGGCCTGCTGCTCTGGGATTCATCTGAAAGCTGTTGGACCCATTTAGAAGGGTACGGAGTGGGGACGGGAGGTGGGCACTCCCACCGCAGTGACTGGAACCTCTGCCAAGATTCCCGGGGATCAACCGAGGGAGGAAATACACAAAGGGTGCCAGGGAGGTAGCAGGGGAGGTGGACAGCCAAGTGGAGGACCAAGGAGACACCCAGAACTTGGCAGCAGCTCCTCCATCTCCTCCCCTCCCGGCACCTAACCATCCTCCCCGAGCTGTGAGGGCCGCTGCCAGCCCAGAGGAGGCGTCAGGGCCAGAACTGGTGTGCTCCCACCAGCCTGCGGCACTCAGCATGGCAGAAGGAGGAACAGCCTGGCCTTCACCACCTTCTCCCTGCCCCACGATGCCTTTCCCTTACGGTCCACTTAGTCAGTCAGCAAGAGCATGGCTTGCTTGTGGCGGAGGTCCCAGGAGGGGAGAAGCTAACTGATAAACTAATTATTTAACATCCTTCTGTGGTTATGCTGTGAAGGAAAAACAAGCCAGGTGCCATGAGAGCTGCAGCAGGGTGTGAGTCAGAGGGCAGGGCTGGAGGCGGGAGCCTCCAGGGCTGAGTGGAGTTCAGGCTGTGAGGGGAGGACACAGGCCCTGAGGCAGGGGCATCCGGGCCTGGAAGTCACCCCGGCGGGTGCGGGAGCAGGCGGAGAGCAGGACTGAGACAGGGCAGTGGGAACGCCTCCCGCCCCAGCGGGCAGCAGGGATCGGGCTTCCGAGAGAGTGAGTTGTCCTCGTTTATGGCTGAACTTATCGTGGCCGCTGAAGGTGTGAGGGCTCATGGGTAGCAGTGGCCTAGGTAGGAGGCTGTTGCTGCTGCCGAGATGATGGCTGAGGGCGGCTCGAACTAAGGATGCGGACAGAGGCTTATGGGCTTCAAATAAAGATCTGAGAGAGAATCAGCGGGACTCGGTGAAGAATCGATGGGAGACTATGATGAGGAAGAGGAAAATGCCAGAACGCCTGCCAGGCTGCTGGTGCATCATCTGCATGTACGGGAGCCGGGACCAGGCAGCACTGGCGGGGGGCGGGGGGCCCAGGCAGCACTGGCGGGGGGTGGGTCTGCGGTGCGTGGCCTGGGCCAGGGTGAGGTGTCATGAAGCGACTGCATAAGAGATGTGAGTGAGGCGGCTGGCTGCACAGCAGCCTCTGGGGATGGGCTGAGAGGCTGGTGGCCATCATGGATGCGACTTTGAGTGTCATGCTTATTAAGCACTAAAACCCCATTGAGTCGTGAAGGCAAAGACAATGCATCCGCCGGAAGGGCAAGTCCCACTCTGCTTCTGACCAGTTGCAAATTTTCACATGAATGCTCACGTTACTTTTGTGCAAAAAACAAAAACACCCGCATGCAAAACAGTTTACGCTGCTCGTGAAGAATGATTTCACATGACTTTTAGGAAAAGTGTAGAGCACACTTGAAAGTTGGGAAGATCTGTTTTCAATCATCAACGTTGCCATGTTTTTTGGTAAAGGCTCTGCCTTTTGTAATCAAATCAAAAGGACTGACAGCAAACGCGCTCTATTCTCAAGTGCACAGTAGAGGGAGAAGGAAAGAAATGCTAATTTGGCCCAAGAGTTGGGTGAAAACATCTTTTTTTTTTAAATAAAAATCGATGGCAGACGTCAGAAGCAGAGGCCTCCGGCACCTGCCAACCTGCAGAGACCTGGCACTCGGAACCGAACCCGAGGTTCTGTGCCCTCAGGAAATCGTAAGGTCACTTCACAAACAGGTACTTCATCCTCTTACAGGAAACACTAGCTCCTGTGCAGGCGCGCCGCCCTGCACCCGCCCGACTTACCTCCAAACTAAGTCTGAATGTCTCCTCCGCAAAGGACAGCGCTGGTGGGGTCGCTGTCACAGGGCCGTGCCCTGAGCAGGTCTCCTGAGCCTCCGGCCTGAGGGGCCCTGGGCTGTTTCCTGTGGAGAACCTCCTCTTGCGGGGCTGCTGCAGTAGCAGGCTGGGCACTGGTGGCGCTTGGTGAGGTTTTAAGCCCCGATCTTGACCACCAACACACCCTGGTCAGAAACGCATAAGCAAAATAGAGTCTTTGCACTGAGCTCACTCCTGAATGTTTGTGCGTGCTTTGCGGTGACTTATGAGATACGGGTGAGTTGGTCACATGCTAGAAACTGGCTCTCAGTGAATAAAAATGCACCATTCTGGCAAAGAGATGAGAACATACTACAGAGGTATTATGGAATATGCTGCCTGCACTATGAATACTGAGCAATGCCACAGCACCTGCAATAATATATGGCGATTAAAGGGGCCGTGAAAGTCCTGGTGTGGCTCTCTACCACGTTGCACAGGGAAAGGGAGGGCCCGGGACGGGAGGGAGGGCAGAGACAGGAGGGAAGATTTCTGTCCACCCAGGCAGGACTCGCTTTGGGCATTGGCATCTCCATCAACTAAAGTCTGAAAAGCAAAAGCTATGAATATTTTTCTGGGGGAAATCCTTACTTTCAACCATCAACAATTTTCAGGGCTCTGATTTTAATTAACAAGATATGTCATGTGAGCACTTATGCAGGTTTTTACCAAAACTCCCATTTTTTGAGAAATTTCTAACTAAAAAGAAAAGTTATAATTTTAACAAGAGAACTGCTCCCTCTTCTAACTAATTCCCTTCATGGAAACAAAGAATATAATAGCCTATGGCCCATCACAGCCGTTTGGCTCGAATTACCCATTACCTTCAAGGCCTTAGAGAGACTTTTCAGATTTTTACAAGTCTGCGTAGTAAATCTTTAGACCAAGTTTCTTTAAGGGGTTCGTCAGATTTATACCCTTTTAGGAATATAATGACGTATTCTTCTAGCCACGGTTTATATAACTGGAGGAAAACAGGAGACAAGGATTAAACATAGAACACAATAAAAACACGATGGTTGGTTTAAAGTCACTGACATTTAAGTTTTGGAACCTGCTTTTTGCCTGGATGTGAATATAGGTGTGGCACCTTTATGGGAATCCACATCAAACAAATAAGAAAGCCTTGAGACAAAAATCCAGAAGGTTGTAGCCTTTCCCTGTCCCGACTCTAACTGCTCCTGAATCACCGCTGTGGGGAGGACCTGCTGGTTTTCAGACAGTTGCAAGGTTCCCAGTTGTGTGACTCCCAGCAGCTCTGCAAGCCAAGTAAATAAAGGAGTGTAGAGGTGACGGCACTTTAAATGACCTGATTATGTGGGATCAATAGGAAATGCTCAGCAGCTAATAAAGCCATCACTTAAGTAGGGTGAGCACTACGTGGAGGAGGGAGAGCCTGAGAGAACACGGTGCCCATTGGCCTGATGTGGACAACAGCTAAGAAGGGCGGTGAAGTTACCAAGGTCACGCCCACACCAGCCCTGCCTACACTGACGCTGCCACGGGTGCCACTGCTCACTGTCTTTCTTCTTCTTTAAACAGAGGAGTGTGCCTCCCTCATCCTCACCTGCCTCTTTTGCCAGTTTTGGGATTGTCTCCTGATGCTCCCAGACACGTGTGAGACGGTGTGCACCAACGCGTGCTGCCCCTCCTACCGGTACCACCACACCTCGGACGAAAGCCACTCCTGGAATGACTGCAACTGCAACTGTGACATGGACTGCAGCCTGTTTGAATCTTGTCACGAGACCGGCGAGTGTCTGGAGCTGGCCATGGAGATTTCAGAGATCTGTTACCGCTAGGCCGGGGGCCTGCCGCAGAGCCGCTGCAGGACGCCCGATCCCAGCTGGAGGAAGGGCTGTGTGCATTTCTTGAGCGCTGCTGGCCGTTTACTCTGCACCTGCCTGGGAAAGCAGTAGTGTCACTCAAAGGTCTTCTTCCAAAATTCACAACCGCATGGCTCGCTGAAAAATAAGATGTTGATCACATGTGATGAACAAGTCCTAAGTTCCTCTTCCATGCCACGGGCAACAGATGTCTCGCAACAACCATAGCATGTTGAAGCCCTCTGAGCTAGTGCACTCGCTGGCTTGCCGCATGAACTTGACTTCATTCACAGATTCAGGACAAATTAGTGCGTTCTTTACCATTGACATATATTAGCTCATCTTTCTAATGGACTCATGCATAAACATTATACATTGTTGGTTATTATTAATAATGTATTGCATAACATCATTTTTAATTAAAAATTTATTTATACGGTCTCTTAAAATTCACTTATATGTACAGTTTAGGTAGGAAAGGGAATTAAATAAATTAGAAGCCATGTTCATGTAATTACAACAGATTCGTTAAGACACCTCCAGTGAATTTCGAATATGATGTGCTTTGAGGGAGCCCTCTAATTCTAGGCCATGTTCCTCCATGTCTGACTATGGCATGTTCTTAATTTGTTGTGAAAAGGCTCTTCTTTATCTAATGAGCAAAAATGGGAATTATGTGCAAGTTTCAAGATAATCAATTCCTCGTTTTCCCCGTTTCTGTTTGTCAAGTACCGCAGGCAACAGGATATCAAAACAGAATCAGTTCGCTTTGCTGAGCCGCCATTTGTGCAGGCGCCGAGGCGCCGGAGGTCTCGCTCAGCGTCTCCTAACTCAGCATGTGCTTTCAAGCCATCGCTTTTTCTCCTGATGATGTTTAAAGTAATAAAGAATTACGTTGAGCGCCTCCTCAAACTTACAAATCTCCAAAGAAGATTTTATGTGGCCCCTGCTGGTGTGGCTCAGCTGGTTGGGTGCCGCTGCCCTGAAAGGTTTCCGTTCAATCCCTGGCCTGGCATGTGCTCAGGTTTCCGCTGGGTCCCGGGCCCAGCAAGGGGCGTGCAGGAGGCAGCTCTTATGTGCTCTCACATTGATGCTTCTTCCTCTCCCGCTCCCTGCCTCTTTCTCTAAAATAACAATTAAAGATCTTTTATAAATTAGAAGGTACTTTACAACTCAACCAAATTATTTTGAGGGAAAAACACAACTAGGCTGAAGTTACATTGGACTTGTCCTATTTCCTGTCAGCATGCCATTGCTCATTCCTGTGTTCTTATATGTCCCAGGGAGATACTGCAATGTATTTATTGAATATTAAAAGCACAATGTATCAATGACCAAACAAAGGTGGCAACAGTGAGGTGGAGAGTCAAGGGAACTTTTGCAATCTAGGCAAACAGCAAAAACTTCAAAGGACCTGCTTTGCTTGACTAGGTAATTTCAAGCAAAAGCAACATTTATTTGGTTTCTGTAGTACATTGACACATTTTTCTACTCTGCAGTAAATTCCCCCAAACACTGAAAACTCTTCATCTTTAAAAAGTGTTTCGAGGCCGCCTCTGGGAAGGGGCCGCTGGCTCTCGTCTTGCTCCCACAGCACCCGTGGTTCCCGCTGCCCGGCCGGTGCGCTCAGAGCTGCGTGGAGGCCGAGCCGGTGCTGCTTTCAGAAGCTGGGACGCCGCTCTGCTCTCCGCGCACAGGAGGCGCAGATCGGTGTGGGGAGAGGAGTGGATTCTGACACTAGGAATGGAACATTCTTATCATAGATCCTCACTTTTCACAAGAGGAAAGGGAGGCCCCAAGAACTGACTTACCCAGGACTCCGCAGTATGAGGGGCAGTGGCAGGGACCTAACTGGTGTCTAACCTTCTAACCCCCTGCGCCCTCCACAGCTCCTACTGTCCAGGCGGGCAGTGTGGCTGCTCCAGCTCCACGGGCTGGGGCCTCAACAGCTGCTCCCTTAGTGCCTGCCCCTGCCCTCAGCTCTCCTGGCCCCTAGCCAAGCACCCTCGCCGCCCCGCCCCCCATGGTCCAGTCACTGAGAGCAGAAGACCCTGCCCTGGGGAGGTCTTGGGGGTCCTGTGCCAATAACGTGGTCCTTGGAGTCACTGATCAGGTCATGCCGCATCGTTGCTAAGTAGTTCGACCATCATCCCCTGATTCTTTCCAGACCCTCAGATCGCACTAAGCTTATGCATTTCAAATGCGAATTGAATGCTTGTCAATTAGAGACATAAGAATCACCAGGTCTTACTTTATGATGTGGTCAGAATACCAGGAGCTTTCTGCGGCCTCTTCCCGAGGGCTGTTCACTCGTTCCTCGCTTTCAGAACCCTCTGCGCTGGAGCAGGAGCCGGTTATACAGTGTGCCATTTCTTCTCTTTCTAACCAGTAATAAAACATTATCCTTTTTGCAAACATGAATGGCTCTTTCAATTGCATTCTTACACAATAAAACATACACGGCTGGAAAATGCAATTGCAGAGGTAAGACAGATGAAAAAGAAATGTGGTTATTGATTAAATACAAATATCCGAATCTGAGAAGGATCCAAGTTTTTCACAATGATAAAGGCCTGTGATTACAAATAAAGATAATGTTATTCTTTAAGGAGGGTTTCTTAGAGAAAGAGTGTTCCTATTTAAGGAAAACACTTGATAAGAGAGATTTGAGAAGATACAACCGTTATAGAGAACTGAGAACAGAGATTTCCCACAGCAATATGACCAGGGAGTACATTGTCTTTGCTTTGCTCAGTGGGTTTGTATAAAACCGTGCTTCTCTAAAAGCCTACAAAATATGGGAAGCAATGAGGAAACCAGTGGTGTTTCACTTGCTAATAACATTTTCCCACCATGCAAGCTGATAGGCCTACAAAATTAATTATCAATGCTGGACATTCAAGGTTAATAAAGCAAATGCCACTTCCTTTTTCTCCAAGGGAGTATGAAAGCATATTGAAGTAGAGAAACTTTACAAAAAGGAAATACCACATAAAGGCACATCAGCATTTTTTTCAAGGATAAATTTACAGGAGGAAATGCTAGAACAGAATTCATGATCCAATTCCTGAAGTTTCTCCTTCTACAAAATGGAGCAAAAGTACACTTTAGTAAGGTGGTTTGACTGGAAGAGTTTTGCCCATTAAATGCTAAATTTAACCCAGACTATTCACACAGACGATCTCTGATGAAATGCAAGTACTTGGCTTATGGTATATGGAGTATTCTTATATATATATATATATATATATATATATATATATATATATATATATATTTCAGAGTGGAAGGGCGAGGGAGAGAGATAGAAACATCAATGATGAAAGAGATTCATTGATCAGCTGCCGCCTGCACACCCCTACTGGGAATCAAGCCCATAACCTGGGCATGTGCCCTGACCAGGAATGGAGCCTGGGACCTTCTGGTTCATAGGTCAATGCTCAACCACTGAGCCACACCGACCAGTCCTGGGTATTCTTTGAAGAAGATGTCTGAGTTAAACCCAAGTAGTTGTCATAGTTAGCCTCATGTGAGCTGTGTAGAAAGGCAACGTGAGGAGAGGATGATTTCCTAGTGATTATAATCCACATGGGATTATTGGGCTCCTCTGCACAGGTGTAGACAGCTCCTAGAATTACTGCAAAGGAGCCCAGAATGTTGGAGGAGGCGGGAATGCAGGTGGGGCAGGACCTGTATTGTGTTTGGATAAAAGGCCCACCTTCTGGTCGACCATCATGACAGGCTTCACAATCCTGCTTTACCTCTCAAGCTGTGGTTCCCAGTTAGAGGTGATTTTGCCTCCCCCAGGGGACAACTGTTAATGTCTGGAAACATATTTGGTTGTCACAGTGGAGAGGGGATAGGTGCTACTGGCATCCAGTGAGTAGGAGCCAGGAATGCAACAAAACAGCCTTCAGCACACAAGACAACTTCCCATATCAAAGAAGCATCCAGCCAAATGTCCATAATGCCAAGACTGCCAACTAACTCTATCAGTCTTCAGACCTATATGAAATGCACCTTAAAAAACTGCTGGAAATGCGGTTGCCAGGTAAATTACAGAATGCCCAGTTAGATCTGAATTTTAAATAAGCAACAAATAATATCTATATATATGTATTTAAAAGGCTAATATGCAAAGTGTCCCTGCAGGAGTTTGGGAGACTGGGAGTTCTATCACGCACTATGATGTGCGTTGACCACCAGGGGGCAGCACGGAAAGAAGGAAGGCCCTGGCCAGCAGCCGGCAGCGGGGGAAGGGAGGCCCAGGCTGGCAGCTAGAAGGCCCCAATCAGCCCTGATCACCAGCCAGGCCTAGAGACCCTACCTGTGCACGGATTTCATGCACTAGGCCTCTAGTTTTAGTATATTTATGTCCCAAATATGACATGTGACATTATATTATAAAATGATGCCTCGCCTGTCTGAAATTCAAGCTTAGCTGGGATCCTGTATTTGTTTGTTAAACCTTGCAGCTCTGGGTCAGAAGCCTCCACATCTGAGAGGGGGCTACCGAAGTGATGATTTCCCTCCCCTCCCCGGCTCCAAGGCAGGACGAGCTGCTTCCCTCTTTGGTCAGAGGCCAGGACATATGTCGGGCCACGTTTGACAATGAGGGAAAGGGAGCCTGGCTAGAAGATCAGCTCCAAAGCAGGACTCTGGTGTTTCCCTCGGCCAGGTTTACAGAGGGCCTACTGCCTTGACCTGCACTGGCCCTGCCTCGGTTTCTCTGCTTCACATCTTCCACTGGCAACCGAGGAGGCACCTCAGCCAAGTGTCTGGATTCAAGAGGTTGGAAGCAGAAGTTCTCACTGAAGCCTTGAGATGGGAACCACATTTTCTAAATCAGTCTTGGCCAGAAAGACTCATCTCGAGAGGTGCTCCAGAGCCCCTCCTGCTCCTGGCACCCGGCCAGCCCCTCATCCACATTCCGAAGGAGGTTCCAGAAGCAGGGATTGTTTTTAATCAGTCCACAA